TGTGTGTAGCTGGATGTGGGGCTGTGTCTCCTCTGGTAAGTGGAGTGGGTTAGCTGGAAGCTTTTTATTCACTGATGCGGTTCAGCCAAAATGTGAAAAGAACTAATGAAACATGCAGTGTGGAGGCCAAAGGAAACTTTCAGTATTCAAACATTCGTACGATTTGAGGTTACCTGATGGATTTGGGTAATGTGTGTGAACATAGATGGTAGGACTGACTCATTACCCTAAGCTTGACATAATGCACAATCAGAGAAAGCTGGAAATAGCCATGTAGGGATGACAGTGGTGAGGGAAAACAGACACAACTGTGAGGGAGAGATGGAAGCAGAGCAGAGAGCGACACAAAGGAGAGCCAGATGGAGAAAGAAAGGAGCTCCGCTCTGGCTGGGATGACTCGGCAGTTTATGCATGTGCTGCTTTACTGTGTGTATTAGTTTCTGTGTTTGGATGCCTTTATGTGGACTCGGCCACAAAGAACCCACTGACTCTCACCAGCACACTCTTACTTAAATTCTGGAGCTTGTTCTTAATACACATTTGTGAATAATTCACCCTGTCTCTGTAATGACTTTGATTCTGGCTCCGAGCCCAAAAACACACGTGGCCTCATTTCTCCTGAAAAGAGTTCTTGAATAACATTCCAGTAAAAACCCTAAGCACAGGTTTAGAAATGCCTATTGCATCCAATAGAAAGACGCTCCTAACAAAACGTAATCCTGGGTTTGATTTGCTGGGTTCTAGCTGTTTCAGAACCATGGACAGCTCCACACACTGCTGCTCCTCAAATAAAACATGACGGCCTAAAACAATGTTATATCCGCTTTTCTTTTTCTTTTGTAAAGGAAATGTCATAGTTGTCAGGTACACTGATGATGTGATTTACCTGTGTAACACACCAGCACAGTGTCATTTTAAAGTGCTCCATTAATGACGCGTTCAAACTCAAACCTGTATTTAGAGCTTTTAAAATGAGTGTGTTTGTGTAAATTACATTTATTTGGGGTACTCAGATGACCAGTCTTGGTTTGTTGCTGAATGTGACTATTTATGCTGCTCTATCAACCTCTTTTTAAGAGTTTGATCATTCGTTGTTGGTCTGATAACAGCATTTTATTTCTACAATGATAAATTAATGCAAACCGAGTTTAGTTCTTTCCTGTTCAATAAGTAGTAGTGCCAGTGGAGCAAATCCTCCGTTCACTGCAGATAAAACATAAGATTATCCTCTCAATCATGTTTATTATGCAGCACTTAAAGAGAATCCGAACAGTTTTTGTTTGTATTTGTTCCTAGTGTCTGTAAGAGCGTGGAGTCTGTCCTCAGATTCTGGTGCATTTGCAGCACTCCTCAAAGCCACGTCCGCCAATAGCCAGCGTCGCCAGGGCAACTGTGGATGCTGTCGTTTTTCTTCGGCGTAACCATGGCGACGGCCCCTTTGGCGACGTGTTGTGTCTGCCCGCCTCACTGTCAAAAGCAGGAGCGCGCACACAGCCCCTGTCTGGAGGGGCAGCACCCCCTCACAGAGCTGAGGGAGGGGGCTTCAGAGGAGAAGCTCGGTAAATGTGGCCCATTCAACACATTCCAGGGCGTCCATATTGAATCTTCTCTGTGTGAGAGTGAACAGGGTGTGGAAATGCTGGAGGCATGAGAAAGCGCGAGCAGCCCCCATTTCCCCGTTTCCAGAAGCCCGGAGGGCAGCGGTCAGCAGCTGAGGAACAGATGAGGCTGGACAGTCATGAAGCACTTTATCTCTTTCAGGTCCTGGAATGATGTCATCGATGATGTCATCTAGTGGTCGGCAAGATCCTCCCGGCCAGCCGGCCTTCAGCTCTGACTACCTGTCTGGTGAGGGGTGCCAGTCCAGTCCTACACACTCACACAGTCCAGCACCCAATGAGAGTGTACAGATCTGCTCAGAGCTTTGAGTGAATACAGTTCAGTACTTTTCATGTGTTTACGGTATATTCCACAGCAGTTGATTTTGACTATATAAACCTACACTAGCTGGGTTTTTGCAGGCTGTTACTAGTCTTAAAAAACACTGATTTCATTTTCATTCAAAACAGACAGAGAGAAAATCGAACAAAGAAGAAAAAACCAGCATCTCAGAAGGACTTTTTCAGTACGATGATCTCAAAGCTTTCCAACATGGAAGTCTCTGAACCAGGTCCACCACCACTACTGGTTTTAAAGGGTTGTTAAACATGTCCTGTTCACTTCTGAAGACTCCCAGTTCTTCTGTGCGTCCTATTTGTTTAAGACATGCTGAGAGGGCTTATGTTCCATTTGTTTACTTTCCCAGGTGAACATTTCTTAAAAAATAACCTTGCACTGAAAAAGTGTGAAAAATAATGTTCTTTTGCATTGACTGAAAGTTTGTGAAAAGTTGCTTCTTAATCTTTATGCACTATAAACAATACTTTTACACCCAGAACCAATTATTTTCACAGCATTAGGAACCCGCCATGACTATAAAGCTAGCCCACAGAAAGAGCAGCTTCCCTAAAATGCAGAGTGTTGAACAGGGATTTCTGCTCATCTTTGGACATATTTCAGCTATGATTATAGTTCAAAGCCTGAGCTTTAGCAACAGTTACTGCATCTGTTTGGTTTTTAATGCAAAGGGCTTTAGAATTCAAATCATTTCTTCATACGTTTGTACACAGGTTTGCTCTACCTGTTTGCACACACCTGTCTACAAAGCGCTTCCTGGTTTGGTTTCCTGTGTGTGACATTTGCTGCTTTAGCCGTTCGTTGCTCTGCTACCTCCCGCTGTTCCACCTGACACTGCCTGTCCTCGTTCACCTCTCCCACTGAATGTGCTTCTCTCCTGCTATGGTTTCTGCCCTCCTGCCTGTCTCCCTCTCTCAGGTCCTATGATGGGGGGGATGACAGGTCAGTGGAGCCTGAACAAGACAAAGGACAGCAGCATGCCTGACTCATTTCTAGGTCTACTTTCCTCTTTTATCTATTGTGTCATTTACCACTAACTTATTTTGACAGTGTTACTCCAAGCTTCTTCCTTCTTCTCTATTTGGATCCAAAGATCGTGGGTAGTTTGGACGTAGGATTCAGAGTCTGTATGGCTAAAACTGCCAGCGTGGCTAACAGTATGAAGGAAAACAAGTCATGTCTCAGGCTGCTGCTTTTAGTTGTTCAGCCCTGTTTACTCTCCACTGATTTAAAGAGCTTCAGACTCACATTCTGTTTGCATGTGGGTTCTTTTATCATAGAGATCATATAAACAAAACTTTAAAGATGGTGGCTTGGCATTATAAGATTTATATAATGTAAAAAAACTTTTCTGTCAAACAAGACATCAAGTCTTGTGATTGATGTTCAGTTAATTCAGCTTTGCTGTTCTTTGTTTTTGTTTTATTCATGTTCATAGATACATTAATAATGTAACCCTGAAACAACAGATCATTAATTGGATTTATAGCATTTTGCCATGATTTACATGTATTTTCTGATTATCTGGCAGCATCACCAATTATTTATTTTAAGATGTGCAATACGTTTTATTAAAAAAAGGCTTAAAAAACAAAATAAATTGATTTGGTTCAAATATTCTACATAGAGGTAAATCTAAGTAGAATTTGCGCATTTTTAGATTTCTCAGGTTGTCATCACTAACACCGCCAATGCTTCAGTGTTTGTTTTGAGTCTTTTTATTTCATGCTGCTGAAAGATCTCTCTTTTCAGTGTTTTTTTGTGTTTGTTTCCTCGTGAAAATACCCATAATCAAGCCATTACTACATGTAGGAAACCTTTTAGTAGTCACATATTTAGGATGTTACATGTAAAAATAAAAAGTTTAAATGATATATCGCTATTTTTGAGACAGGAAGACACCAGCTATGTCACCAAGGATCTCCATTGTTGTAGCATTTTACTAAAACATCTGTCAAGGTTAAGGCTACTAGCTTTATTATGTGAAAATGTGAAGTGGAGAGGCCCTGCTTTGTGTTGATGTGTCCATGCCCCCCCTCAGGCTTCTCCCAGTCCGGGATGTCTGGGACCATGGGCTCCAGCCTGCCACCGTTCCAGACCAGCATGAGCTCCTCTCTGGGACAGACCGGGATGAGTGCAGCCATGGACACCCAGAAGAGCTCGGGCCTGTTCGGAGTGGACAGCAAAACCTCCAGTAACATCATGGGGAGCAGTCCTTGTAAAACCAGTGACCCCTTTTCTTCTGGTGGCCCAGGAATCCACTCGATGGATCACTCCACAGGTATCAAAGCGGGCTGGTTGCATGTGGTACTTAATGGAGGAGGGTGGAGTCAGATAAGGAGTGAGGGGAAGAGGTGAGGAACATAAGCTTCAGATGTAAATCTAAATCTAAATCCATGGTTGTATTATACATTTTAGATGTAGAAGGCCGGGTTTCTGTGGCAGGAGCTGAGAGATGAGTAAGCCTGATCAAAGCAGCAGAGCTCATCCTCCTCTTTGTTGCCTTACTCTCTTTGTTATTTATTATTACTATTATAGGAATAATGCAGACAGATGGCACTCAAAGTGATCACTATGAATAATAAACTGTTAAAAGGATAACATTCCATAGGTGTTTTTGTCTTTCCCCATAGATTTAATACTCAGTCACTAAAGCCTTTTATCATGAATTATTAATGCTCATCTTAATCAGTTTTCTGCTTGAGTGAGTAACTAATTTCATGGATACCAACAACAAAAACAACCCTGTGGGTATGTTGGGTGTTGAATTGTTCTTTCTTCTTCGGAAATTGAAGCTATGATTCCTCTTAATTTATCATCTAAATGTGTTGTGTGCATTTCTCCTGAAAAAGGGAGGCTGTGAATAAAACATAATGACAACAAGAAGTACAACCCTATGCTTGACTGTCAAAAGACTGTAACTCTCCAATATAGGTTAAACTCTTGAAATATTTAACAGTTTTTTTTAGCTCCAGTGTTGTGCTAAAGATAGCTCTGCCGGCTCAGAAGCAGCTCAGCAATCTGCTGACTCTAAGAAACTGGCTCTTCCTGTTCGGTCAGAATAAAAAAAACCTGAAGCATTGCTGACAGATCTGTACGTGACACATGATGCAAACCCCTTTTTTTAAATTCCAGAGATGAGCTTAGTAAAGAAGAAATTTACGCGGCTGTGACAGCTTCTTTGACTCTAAAAGTAGCTTTCAACTCGCCATTAAATTTTCAGGGAAGAGCCTGTAGTGATATAAGCAGATGTTACTATTTTAAAAGTCTGAGCTTAGCTAGCTCCCTTGACAAAAAATACCTGCAGACTATCTTTGAAATCCCGTATTATCATCCAATCAAAAGAGAAGGGTAAGCTTGAGACAGACTAATCTAATTCTTGCTCCAGTGAGTTTCCTCTGGACAGGAAACCTTTAAATCAGAACATGGTATAAAACGTACAGGGTGGAATACGCCTACAGAGGCATCAGATACTTGACATGTTTTTCCTCTTTGCTCAGTTAGCCTTTGTTTCCCCCACCAGCTCTGTGGAGTAAACATAGGCCATGGCTCATCTCAGCTCACAGAATAATCTCCTCTGTGATAGGAACAGTTTAGGGGTTCTCATTTGACAGCAGAAGTAGGAGAAATGCCCCAGAAACCCTTCTGCTGTCATTACTAATCATAATGAGCCCACTCTGATCAGCAGACCTTAAACTGCTTGGGAGAGCTCTTTTGAAGCTACAGTAAGTGTTCTGCAGGACACTGATTATTGAGTTACCAAAAATGTTTGTTTTTTTATATTTTGTGCAGGAGTTTTGTCTGTGAAGGAGGTGACTAGACTCTTTGTAAAATATCTTCTCTCATCATTTTTACTTAACACTCCTTCTGTGCATGCACTGTTTGTTAGGAGCAACTGGTTCTGGACGTTAATGTATTTCCTGGAACTTTGCCAGAGTCCAGATGAAGATGTGGTCCCATTAAATATAGATGATAATACCCCCTCCAGCTGTTTATAGCCGGGGAAGCTTCAGATCTCAGGGAGAAAATAGCAACTTCGACAGGTTTAGAAATGTAGGGAAGGACAGAGTGATAAAAACTGGGCTGGAAGAATATTTTCAAGACACAGGCATGTTTTGGTCATAGTCTTTATTTGACATTTCCCTCCGTGTCATGTTTATATCTATATGTCCATTCATCTGTGTCTCTGCTTAACTGTAATCTGATTAGGTTCTCATGGGAAATAATTAAAAAAAGAAAAATAAAGAGAATAAAAATGTAAACCCACCTCTGATGACCTCCGCTATTCAGATATCTTAGTCATTTTAAGCTTGTATATGCCATCCTTCTGTTATTGTGTATCACATTCTTTGGATTTCCTCTCATGGAAGTGTGTAAATGTGTTCATTCATTGCCCTGATTCTTCAGAAGTGCATGCATTTGATTTGATCATGCATGCTACTCATTGTTTATCTTCCTGTGTGCTTGCTTTGCTCTGTTGCATATTCCTTCTCACACAAGCAGTTTTTTACCTTTGATGGAAATCATGGTGTTTTTTCAACTCCATTCTGGATTTAACTGAAATTTGAAACATTTTAAAATGTATCTATCAACTCTACTCATGTTCCCTTATCTTCCTTATTGTTTTGTGAGCAATACCAAAGGAACACAGTGTTAAAGATAGTTTGATCCTAATATTTGGAACAGCGTTAGTTTATTCTTCACAAAATGCTTCCACTGTGTCTTCAAAGGCTTTTCCGTAACAGCATGTGATGGAAGGAAATAGCTAGTTTTGCCTAATCTGTTGCCTTCTGTGAGAGGTGAGGTGTCAGGTTGTCCGACTGGTAGTGGAGATGATGGAAAAATGTCAAATGCAGATGATCCAGGAGGACAAATATTTCCTTAATTATTTCACACTCTTAAGTCAAACACTACTTTGAATGTATTTTTTCAGTAGTCTGTTGTGGTGTGCTCTTAGGCTTTTGTTCTGGACGTGTTGATAAAGTGAGTGGATGAACACATGCTGACCCTCAGCTCAGCTTCTGTTGCCAATAGCTTTACTATCAATACTTGAACCCTGTTTGTGAAGCCTTGTTTACAGCTGGTCTTCGAGGCTGTCTTTGGTGATCTGATCACAAATGGGGAGCTCTCTCCACATTTGGAGGTGGTTGAGCTGAAGTGGAAGGGAAGTATTTTTAAGTTTTTTGAGGATTTGAGTCTTTCATTGTGTTTATTCCTGATCCACAATGAACAAAGTTGCTGTACGCCACAAAGCTTTGGTCATTTAGCTTAGATAGTTTTGGTCTTCAAGGTTGGTGTTTCAAGGTAAAAATGGAAGGGATTGACAACTATTTAAAGGTTTGGTGTGGAGTGAACGGATGATTTTTTCATTGGAAAATGTCCATTAATGCCCACTGATGTAACTCAAGCTGTGACGTTGCCTTCTCCAGACCCCAGAAGGGATTCCAGTATTTCAGGCTCCGTTAAAATGTTGTTTTCAGATAGATAGCACGTAAACACAACGTCTGAATCTAAGATACGTTGCAAGCTTGTGAATGCAATTGTGTATATTGCAGAAACCTTAGTGGATTGTATTGATTATTACCTCTAACTGTCTTATATGCTTCTGGTGGCATGCCCAGATGTTTATTTTCTTTAAACAGAGCAGGGAAGACATATTTGATCACAAATGGCTGCATGGGACATCTGATAATGCACCAGACTGACAGGTATGGCTTACTAGAGCTGTCCACTTGTGTCCAGGTCAGCCAGGATGAAGACCTCCCTACCGTCAGACTATTAAAGAGTCAGAAGGGTTTAGCTACCAGGGTCTGAAGGCTTTGTAGCTGGTGTTTCTCTGACATGGTATGTGATTGGTTCCTCCTCTTATAAAACCCTCCCCCCCCTCGGCAGCTCCCGCCCTCTCTCCCAGCGGCTCACTGGATGACAGCAGTGCCACGTCGTCCAACTCTGAACCCCTCAGCCCCGAGAGAGCGGGGCCGGGAGGCGAGGCAGGCAAGCAACGGCGGCGGAAGAAGAAGAGGAAGGGCCGTGACGAAGTCTACGACTTCCTGGATAACCAGGACAGAAATGCCCACCCAGCAGACCAGCGCGGGCTGCAGGACAGAGGCGGGAGGGAGGCGGAGGAGGACGGAGATGAGGAGGAGAACTGGGAGTGGGAGATCAGAGAGAGTGGTGGAGGGGGCAGGGTGAAAGGCAGGAAGACTAAGAGCCGGGCAAGACTTCCAGAGGAATGGGGCGCGCCCACCCAGGCCCCGGGGGCTCCCACCTGGGCTCCAGACGCTGGTCCTGCTCCAAACCACAGCCCCAGCCCCGCCTTCCCCTCTGAACAAACACCCACGAGCTTCACCAACTGTTCCCATGTCAGTCTTGTAACAGATCTGTCCCCCCGTGCCTACGAACCCATGTGTGTAGACGACTACCCCGTGTCTGGAAACGATGGGCTAAAAGCGAGTGAGGGAAAGGTTTCCCCCAGCAAACCCGGACCTAACATTGGCCTGGCCTCCAGTGTTGCCGGTAAAAGCTCTTTGAGTGGAGATGTCAGTGGCAGTCTAGCTCTAATGGCCGGGGATAATCTGAGCCCAGTCTCCCAGACCTTCTCTTTCCTCGATTCAGTCCTCCAGACTCCTCCGGGCTCCACCCCCGACTCACAGACCTCCGTCCCCGTCACCAACACGCCCTCCATAGCCCCCGCATCCCTGATCAGGTCCACCCCATCCGAGTCCTCCATCCCTGCTTCACAAATGTCCTCCATTTTTAACCCTCCTCCTGAACCCCCTCTGTCCTCCAACCCGTCTCCCCTAGTTACCCCGGCAACCACAGTCAGGTCAGCCCTCAATGTTGATGCCAGGCCTTTTGTCCCCTCTGCCCCTGTCCTGTCCTCCACCACCCCCCCCGCCCCTCTTAGCTCCTCCATGGCACCTTCACAGAATGAAGCCGGCCTGTGGTCTTCATCACCACCCTCATCATCATCATCAGACTTTCCATCCAAAGGTGTAGCCATGTCCCATAGTTCTGCCACAGCCCCCCCCTCCACCCCCCCGGCAGCCCCTCCCTCTCTCCCTGCACACTCAGAGCACCAGGAGTTCTCCTCGCCACAGCTCCCCCCACTGGAAGGTTGGTGAACTACAGGGAAGATTATGAATGGGCCTGATTTGAAAACAAGTCATTATAGGCTGGGCTAGCTGGAAGTAGAACAGTTTGTTTTTTATGTGTGCATGGCTCTGCCTGCTGATGGAGCACCAGGTCAGCTTGGTGCTCGATCCTTTCCTCCAGGGCCCGACAGACAAACCTATGCTAGCTTAAATGCTAAGTGAGTTTTTAAGATATTCATTTTCAAATATTTGCTAACATTTCAAAACGAGCAGTCAGGATGATGTTTTCCAGAAGAAAAAAAAAACATTTGTGTCCAAATATATATCACTCCTCCTCCTGGCATGAGAACGAGACACAAATGTACTTAGCCAGTCGGGCCCTCCATTAACAAAACTGCAAAGGTAGACTGTTAAGTTGTCTGATTTGATTTCCCTCTGCCTGCCTCTCTGTATCAGCTACCATAATCATAACAACTTTAATCCGGGACCTGCTGCTTCTGTCTCTGCTTGCTCCACCGTCTACTGTCTCATCTGACTATCAGCTGCCTGCTAAACCTCCTGCTAGCTGTTTGTGTGTGTATAGAAACATACACGTAATATAAATGTAACCCGGGTAAATGCATGGCAAAGTCTGCTGTTTGCCTTCTCAGCTTCGTGAAGTCACACCTGTCTGAGTTACTACTGCTCAGTGACATAGAGAGGGAGCCAACTGATGGAGAGGTCAAAGGGCATTTGGCTGAAAAGGGCTGTGTGTTGTGTCATGTGATACGTTATGTTCAGAAAGGCACAACTTGCTCTTATTCTCTTTCGTGTCTGCCCCAGCTTTGAGCATTTACTGTAAGTAAGAAAAACTAACCTTTAACTCTCTCTCATTCCCGTCCGAACTGTAGTCCAGTCAGTAGTTTTTCCTCACCTCCAGTCCCGGGTCACACAGCTGTCAGTCTAACCAGGAGCATCTCTGTAAGAGCCGTGTGGCAACAGGCAGTTTAACATGGGGATGACCTCACTAATGCCATCCATCAGCTCTCCAGCGTGAATCCCCGGGCCTTCTTCACACTTAATACGTGGCCCTTCTGGACTCTGAAATATGCATTTAGATCTGCGTTAAAAGTTCATGACGGACTGACATAACAGCACTCTCTATCGGGTCAGCTTTTAAGCTCCAATAGTAACAGATCTCCAACTAGTGGTAAATCTTTAACTTCCAGGAAATCTAACTTTTTTTTATTTGCAAGTTCCATCATACTGTGTTTTATGGTAGAGGTCCTGGTCTCTTATCAGAATTGATGTGTGACTGTGAGCTAAATGAATTTCAGCCTTAAGTAACCAAACCTTGTTTTCTTCTCTCCCCTTTCCCTCTTATCTGTTTTACAAATGCCACAACGTTTCTTCAATCAACAGGTAAGACCATTTTATGTTCTCCTGTGTTTTATATTCATATGAGAAGTCTTTCTTATTTTTACTTATTCTGACTGAAGTATCATTTTACTCATTTTATCATAAAAAATCTAGAAATGAAAGATGTGAAAGCCAAAACGTCAATGGCAGTGTATCAAAAGCATAATTAAATAATTAAGAATGACTACTAATGTCAGATACTATTTATTTGCATTTGGCTAAAAACAGTACACATTTATAAAATGTCATTTTACTCTCGACTCTCAGCCTGTGTGTATTAATGATAGATGAAAGCTTGTGACTGCTGTTTTGCAGTGAATCTAAATTCACAGGCTTTTAAAATATGAGGTTTATCCAAACAAAGGTGCAGATACACTATTACAGTAGAAACTGTATATATATGATGAGAAGTAGTTTAACAGATGATCAATGTGACCACCAGCTGCTCCAGACTACACATTTTAACCATAAAAAGCACAATCTCGGCCTCAATTCTTAATCACTGCCGTAGTTTGGTTAATCTATTTGAAGTTAATCGTCATCAAGAGTTGTTTTATTCAGATGCAAGACATTTGAAGTCATATAATGTCTTTTGAGTTAAAACTCAATTAAAAGAAATGAGAACTCGACTTAACCAGTGACTAAAAAAAAGGTAAAAAGCCAAATTAAAGGAAAAGTGTAGCAGTGGTTAGAGGAGAAGTCAGTGAAGCATGACACTCCTCCAGTCTCTGTTTCTCCCTGTTTTTGGTTCTATTTCTGTTTGAGCCTGCATTTGCTGCCTGTCTCTGGCATACAGTATTGATAGCAGAGACTTTTAGAAGGCAAACATGGTGGCGCTTTTTACGCAGTGTGTGTTTTTACCTCACATAAAAACCCAGTGGAATCACCTCTGGTGCATGCTGCATCTTTATTCAGCTACATGTATCATATGTGAGGAGTAAGCATCTTTTTCTTATCCACTGACCTGGTTTTGTCTTTCTGAGCCTGTGAAATGGAGACTAAGTGGATTCTATAAATTGGAATAAGCACTGAAGACCCGGGTGTGTTGTGGTTTGCGGTGTCAGGTAGCAGTCAGATGGTCAGTCTGTGTCCAGAGCTAATGCACAGCGTTTTTAGGGGTTTTTTTGTGTTGGTTTTTTGTGTCTCTGCTCAGCTCGGTGGCTCCATCATGTGTCTGCTGTGGGAACTACAAGTATGATTTAGTTGGTTTTTTACCGAGTGTCAAACAGCATGATTATGCCTGTAAGTGTAGCTGATTTTGATTAAGAAGAGAGCATAGCTGTACACTTTTTTTCTCTTAATCTGCATTGACATTTAGCAGATTTTGGCAGCATGAATAGATGATCAAATCAGTTTTTTATTATTTGTTTGGCAAAACCAATACAAATTCTGGCAAAGAGATTAGTTCACTGACTAATATAATCTAAATTCTAAATTTAATGGAGACTTATATTAGATACACATTCAAACAGAATGAGCCATCACTCATTCAGTCATCATTCGAATAGTTTCCTAAAATAGATCAACTTTAAAATGTGTTACTTATTGCCCAGATACTGCAGTAAAGGTCACAAAGGTTAAAAAACTTCAAGAAAAACTTCACATGAAATCTTAATTGTTTCCACAATGAGTCCCACATGATAATTCTCCGTCATTGTTTTCTTGTTGAGTCTGAAAGTTGTTGGCTCTTTCTCTTCTGGTTCACAGACATGTAACAACTTTCAATGCTGAGGTCTGATGAATCAAACATCCTTCTTTCATTACAAATATGCACGTAGATCTCAGAATAGTTTCTCTCTAAGTTTGACTTACATTGACAAAATCTGTGAACTTTATGAACTGATTGAGTCTCGTGTCTGTTATGAAATTCTGCATGTGGGGCTTTTAGACCCAGACCAGACCTCAGAGACCCGGAATAAAGCCACTGCAGAGAGAACTGGGTTACAGGGACAATTTTAGAGATTATTTTTATCTCTTGTCCTCGTCTTGGCTTCGTCTTGTTTCCTCCTTGGTTGTCACCCCAAATTTTCTTCCTCCTCACTTTCCCCCTCTCAGTTCCTCTGCTTCTGTCCTTAATTCAAACGTTTCTGCTGGCCTTCATCAGCGAGTATTTTTAGCTATTCCACCGTTCCTGTCTCCCTCTGTCTGTCCTCCTCGCTCCCCACTGGACCCTCCCTCTGTTTGTCCTTCCCTCCCCCCCCCCCTCCATGTTTTTTTTCCCCTTTTTTTCCCCCCCCCCCCCCCCCAGATCAACCCCCCACGCCGCTGCAGCGCTGTAATAATCACCTTATCAACTATTTGGGTTTGGAAGGGGGGGGGGGTTTGCGGTCGTCGGAATCGGAGGGTGTTGTCAGGGAGACGTGGGAGGCGGTTGCCGTGGAAACAAAGACACTCTGCGGGGGCTGGAGGGAAAGGGAAAGGGTGGACGGGGTGTGACAGGCAGTGGCTCTGAGGCTAAAAATAGCAACGTTCTGACAAGATCCTCCCCCTCCTTCTCCCCTCTCCCCCCCCCCCCCACACCTCCCCCCATTCATGCCAGTGCTGTAGCTGTAGCCTCCTCCTTCTGTCTCCAGCTCACGCTCCTCCATCCATGACCTTCAGACGAGGACCTGCTGATTCCCCCCACATAAAAACTATAAAATATAAAGCTTCATCTAACCCAGTTACTTCACAGGTTGAACTTGTTACTCATTCAAGCTTTGGTTGAGCATAGATTTGATCACATAACCTCATATTTTCAATGATTCCTTCCTCGGTGTCTAAATGATACAGTGTTTGCATAAAAAAGACTCACTAAGTGCCATTATCAAAACAGTGAAAAAAGGTTGGATGTGATTGGAAATCCATTTTTTTTTTCTTTTTTAAAAGGTTATCTCATTTAAAATGTAAAACAGTTGTTTTTTAACAGAATATAAAAATGTCAGTATAACTAAGAGTATGACTTTTACAATACTTTGCATAATGTCATTAAAAAGATTTCTCAAATTGTGTCAGAGCCCAAGCAAACTCTTAAAAACGTGTCGAATTTGGACGAGTGGAGGAAGGCTTGTCCACCAGAGCGCTGCGTGTGCAGTAATGTGTGAGCTAATGGCTCTCAGCCCTGCTCCCAGCCCTCTGATGATCTACTTACTGCTCTGCAGCAGCTCTGGGGCTGTTGCAGCCGCGGCTACTTGTAGCATCAAGATGCACGTTTACTAAAATATAGACGTTTGCATAGGAAAAGCTCCAATCCAGATAGGAAAGAGGAGGAAGTCTGATCAGCACAGCTGTGTTGTGCCAGGAAATCCCATTCCTGATAAAAGAGTTTATAGAATAGAGAGTGTTTGGAGCTGGTGGAGTCAGAGAATGAACTGATATATTTTATTAAAAGCCTTAAATGTCAGTCTCGTTAATCTTGTTAATCCCAACAGGTTTTGGAGTGGTGTGCACTTACTCGTTATTGATTGATTAAGTTTGGCCTATGACTGTTTAGACAATGTAATTTGACCCATTTTCACATCAACATAATAAAAGTATGTAAAAAGTCTGCTGTGTTTTCCAAATGTCCTTTAGACCGTCTTTACTGTGTGGTCTCAGTGACCCTTGACCTTAGAATCCCTTTGTATATCCACACTAACCACCTCTGAGTCTGACCTAACTCTTAAAATCAATCCAGCCTGGGATTCTTGCATAATATCCGTCCCGTCCAAGTCTTTAGAGACAGAACAGCCTTCTGTATCTCTTTCTCTGTGCTCACTGTTCCTCTGTGGTTACAGTAGACAAATTGTCTTTGGAGGATTATGTAATGATACTCATTCATTCTCATTCATGCCTGACGAGCTGCTGCTCTTGTTGTTTTGGCTCTGGCCTCGGGTGTGTGGAGGGGCTGAAATGGAATTTGGTGAGAGGCACTGGAGAGATGTCCGGGCTCTCTCTGGGTTTGTGTTTTAGCTTAAACTGTGTGTCTGAGGGACAGCTGGCCTCTAAAGCTGACAGCAGATCCCCGGTAGATGTTGTTAACTACTGTGTACGCATCCAGTCAGCATGTTTTCTACTTGTTTCTATCTTCTTAGAGCACTGAACTCTTTGTGCTTTACTGTGAGTTGTACTTAGTAAATGCTGGAGTATAACTTGTCCTTGATCTGAAAATGTGTTGCTTGTTCCAAGACAACCAGCTAATTCTTAATTTCTTTCACTGAGTTTCATGATGCTGATGATAGAACAAATTTCCTCTTTTGAAATTGGCTTTAGTCATTCAGAAAGGTTGCTTTTTGCTTCAAGCACCCAGCTGAATCTCCAGTGGATGGTGTCCCAGGAAAAAGCTGAATTCCACATGGTTGCATTCCTTCCAGCCAGCTCTGCTATACACACGTTTTATTGTGAACGAGTCCCTAAACAGAAAGTGTTTCAGTTTGCTTTGCTAGGGAATGTGATTGTCAGCAGGTGTAATGCATAAGCACCTCCAGAAATGTCCATGCACACGTAGCTTTGCAGCTAAGAGCTGGAAGTCTGCGCTGTGCAAAAGCCGGCAGATAAGGGAGACAGGGAGGAGGATGAGGCAGAAAATATTTAATCCTCCTGCAAAGCTGGAGTATAAATCCCCAGCAGAGTGCTGGGGATTATTTCCTCATTCTTAAAAACAACTTTTTTCTGTCTTTTTCTTAGTATGGTCCTAGGAGCTGCTACTGTTACTCAGTGATGCTCCATCTGTTGAACGAGGTGAAAAGAGTCGGAGTCCATCCGTATTTAGTGATAGATTGTGACAGTAGCATCCTGTAGGTTAATAATAGCTGTGAAAGTGGCTGTATTCTTGAATTATTTTACTGCCAGATGATGTTAATTTAGTATTCTAGTGATTTTGTAAGATACTTTGTGAACTGTAGTGTATGTTGTGTGTTATGTCTTAAGCTGCTGGGACCTTGAATTTCCCCTTGGGATCAATAAAATATCTATCTATCTATCTATCTATCTATCTATCTATCTATCTATCTATTGTGTTATAGATGGTGGTTTATATCGGAACAAATGTCAAACTTAAAACACATTTAAAAAAAGGGGAATGTTTTTAACCACAGGCGCTGGACGGATCACAGTAATTGTAGTAATTGCTCTTTGTCCATTTGGGGCTGTCAGAGTCTCTGAAACTGAACTGCAAATAGAGCTGGTAGACAATGAAACCCAGTTAATGTTCTCTCCCCTGAAGCTCTGTTTCCTCTGGCTAAAATCTAGCCCTTCAGCTTCTGATGCTCCACTGGGTAGCTCCTGTTTGGTGCATGTGGCCTTATTCGTTCCATAAGATTTTGGGTGTCAAACGCAAACACAACTGTGTCTGTGTGGACAGCCAGATGTGTGTCAGCAATGTCCTAATTAGTCTGTTGGAGGTCACCCTGAGTCGGCCTCCACTGCGTTTGTTTTCCTCTGCAGAGACAGGAGCATAAAGTGGGTTTAGGAAAGTTTATTTTTGTGTTGTGAGTGGCAAACTTTAGAAAGCTGTGTGTTTAATTTATTGGCCGTGGCTAACTTGGTCATCTTTTATTTTTGTAGTCTAAAATAACCCCTGCCTGTGTGTATATTCATCAGATGAAGGATGCTAGTAGATATGTAGTTATATGAGTGATGGTCTGATTTCAGTTATTTAATCGGGTCGGGGTGGTTACAGTTTTAGAGTTTAGGGAGAGACTGCCTCTCTCAGTGAATCAACATGTGGAGCAGCAACTGTATCAACACTGACTGTCCGTGCATGTTTCAGGCTGTTTTTTCAGGCTGTTTTAGGCTGTTTGAGGCTGTTCTTTCAGGTTGTTTTTTCAGGCTTTTTCAGGCTGTTTTTTGGCTGTTTTAAGCAGTTGTTTTAGGCTGTTTCAGGTTATTTTTTTATGCAGTTTCAACCAGTTTTTTAGGCTGTTTCAGACTGTTTCAGGCTGTTTTTTTAGGCTGTTTCAGGCTGCGTGCACAAGCTTGTGTCTTCATACGTGTTTGCCTGTGTACGTTTGTCACCGGGAGCTAGATTGGTGAAATCTTGCTCCAGCGAATGAGGGAACATTCCTGGCTGTCACGTGACTGTGATGTCAGAGAGAGTGAAAGAGAGAGAGAGAGAGAGAGAGAGAGAGAGAGAGCGAGAGCAAGTTGCAATTTAGCCCCACAGCTGATCCGTGCAGCGCTCAGAGAGGCTGAGACCACCAGACACACACACACACACACACACAAGCTGTACGCACACATGCACTTTATCCGGGCACATGCGCCTTAAATTCCACACCGACAGCTGCGAGGCATCACTTTGAAAAGGGAACGATTCTCCTCCTCTCTTCTTCACGCTGACAAGACGCCGGATGCTGGGGACACACCTGTAAGAGGACCAAAGAAAAGCTGAGAAAAAGCAAAGCAAAAGAGAAGAGAGCACAGAGAAGATCAGCACCGGAGGACTGACCGTTGTGCAGGAGGATGTCCTTCCTCTCCGGCCCCCCCTGGCCGCAGCAGCCGGCCGGTATCGGTGGAGGCGGTGGCTTTGGAGAAGCTTCCAGTGGGCTCCAGCAAAAGCCCCCCAGCTCTCTCTCCCCTTCTCTGCCCCCCCCCGGTCCGGCCTCCAACCGACACACTGACCCCCACCGCCAGGGCCCGCTGGGCTCCGGGGGGGCCACGAACCAGGACGGGTCCAGGAAGACTCTGATGGAGGATGGGGGGAGATCAGGGCGAGGCCGGGCCGAGGGGACGTGCTCTGGTCCAGAGGCTGGAGATCCGGGAACGCCAGGAACGCCGGGCTTCAGGATGCCAGAGCTGCAGGAGGGGGCCGGAGGGGGGGGGCCAGAGCAGGTAGGCCACCGGGCAAAAGGGAGCGGGGACTCGTTAGGGAGCGCAGGACAGAGCCCCAGCAGCCCCCTGTCCCAGTCCTCCCCCTCCTCCTCCCTACTCTCCCCCTCGTTCTCACCCGGGAGCTCATTCCCAAACCCGGTGATGGACTCTAGACCCGGTCCCGGTCCCAACAGAGCTGCCCACCAACAGCAGGAACCCCAAATCCCCAAAGCCTCAGCTCCTGCCCCAGAGCGGGCCTCAAGGCCCGAGAAGACCCTCCCACTGAGCCCGCCACCCACCGGAGGATCCACTTCACATCTGGAACACAAACGGGACGAGAGGGTGAAACCCTGGAGCCCCCCGGGAAACCGAACGGAAGATTCTGGACATTCAACCCACAAGCCACACGCAGGAAAACAAGATGGAGATGCAGCTCTTCCTGTGGTGTCCAACCCAATGTGGGGTAACACTGCACCAGGCCCCCCCACGGGAGGCCCCCCCCAATTGGGGCCCCCCCCCCGGGGCCAGCAGAGTCATCACTGGGGCCACACCTGGCCTCATAGAGGAGAACGGCTTTGAGAGGCAGACCCTGAGTCACACTCAAACAGGGAGATCAGGATCCCCCCCCCCAAAGGACTCAAACTGGGGGGGGGGCGGCCAGGGCGGCAGCACACAGAGACACCCGGGCGCCGGGGGGGGGCGAGCTGCCCCCGCGGACCGCCGTGAGGCGGGCCATGTCCGACTGCTCGCACCTGTCCGTTCCCATGGTGATGGCCGGGGTCTACCCCTCCAGCATGGGGGGGTCACAGGCCCTGCCCAACTTCACCCTGGCGGGGGGGCCCTGCCCCCCCCCGGGCCGTGCGCCGCTCGCTCACCGTCAGCGACGGGTCGGAGGCCGCCGTCGCCATGGCAACCGTCGCCTCCTCCCCTCGGCTGATGTCCCCCGTGCTGCCGTCCTCCCCGCCCCCCAAGAGGCATCATGGGAGTTATGAGAGCAGCGTGTTGCTCCCGGTCCCGCCGCCTGTGGGGGGGGCGGGTAACAGCCAGAAACACTCCGCCGGTAAGACAGATCCAGGTTTATCAGTTTTATCTGTGCATTGTTATGGAAAAAGTTATTTAAATGAGTGAGGCAAAGTTTCTTAATAATTAAAGAAGATCGATCTTGTCCAATAAAGAGATTTATTCAAAGGCAAGAGCGTTAGAAGACGCAGGTCACAGAGTAAACCCAAGGGAAAGGCAGGTCCCCTTAATAACTTAGTGTGGATAAAGGAAAGGAAAAGGCCACTTTGTTTCTTATCAGCAACAAACAAAGAGATTCTGATTTACATTCAGTCCTCAGGAAGTCCCATGGAGAACCTCCAAAGGGACAGGGCTATGCTTATTCTCAGGAGATAGGAAAGGGCCTAATGTGGACGGATCAAAAGGAGAACCTTCTCAGGTGTGAGACAAGTCATACAATTTAAATGATAAACAGGAATGGGAGATTCATCCTGGATGGGATTAAGGAAATTGTTGTATTTCCTACTGGTGCTAAAACCACAGACATACGTGACAACTCTCCCTAAAGGAATCAACAACCTTAACAAGGAACCAAAAGAGAAACATCTCCAGGACAGCATCATATAGTCTCCACTGGTTTGATCACACTTCCTCATCATCTTTCAGAGGAAACAAGCCGGTATCTTTCGTGGTAAAGATCAAAACGCAGGAGAGAGAAGTCTGGCAGCTTTCATGCAGCGGTGACTCATAACTGCATTCCTTCACCTCCTGTTTTCCACATTTACACCCCAGAACAGGTTATTACAGCGCCGTTATTGGACTAAATATAGGCGGGCGGTGCCTTCATTTCCAGGATTAGCTTTGACTGAACGCGTACTGGGGGGGGTAGTCTGACTAGAACATGTCTACCCACGACAACATCACCTTCTGGTTCCTCTTAACTACTGGAAGTCATGTGATCTAAACTGTTGATAGCAGCTAAGTTTGTAAATGTATTTACAGTAAAGGGATTTTTATTCACCGTCCAGGGTGACCCCCCCTCTCCCCCTCTGACTACTGGGTCAGGCCCCAGTCCCCCCCGACCCCATTAGGGAATAAGGATGAATGGACTTTTATTCCTAGACTTTACAGTATCTAAAGAGAGCACACACACTCTATGTGAAAGGTTTAAGCTCAGTTGACGATTTATTCCTAATAGTCAACACTCAGCTGGTTTTGATACTTACAGGTGTATCATCATGTAATCATCCCTTATTTAAATCATTTCCCTCTGGGATTATTAAACTATTTCTGATTTAACAGAAGGTTCATTTATTCTATGCTTCTATATTTACCGATGTCAAAATCTTGATTTGATATTTCTTTATTACCATTTTACCTCATAAATCTTGTCTAGAGTGAGATATAAGTATTTATATCTTGCAGAATTTTCTTGATTAATCTAGAAAAAATTTAATCTGCATGGAAATGGGCAGTAATTACTTTATTTATGCCAACATGATATTTAAACCACCATCCTTATTCCAAAATGAGCAAATGAGCAAAAAGGCATGAAAGAAACTGTAATAATAGCAGGTTGAAAAAGGGAAGCTCACTTTGTTTATTTGTCAGACCAAAGGATGTTTTCCACCTGGGATTAAAAAAAAAGTTTCAATCTCAACATCTCCAAGTCTAAATCCCCCTAATTACTATGTCCTTCTCTAATAAGATTTAACTGAGTAAATCAGTCTGGGAAATGAGTTCTGCCAGAGCTAATGTCATCATGTTGTTTCATTCAATTTGGTGAATGTCATAAAGCTCTTAACTCTGCATTCATTTGCCCTCTTTCATGATTGCAAGAGTGAATTCAAAGGACATTTTTACAAGTTTAGATGATGATGACAGAACATTAACGATGTGTGATAAGCGACTGAGACACAGGAATATATCTTATTGTAAATGCATTATAAACCGGGCTGTTTTTGAATGAAAAGAGATAAATGGGTTCTTCTCTTTTCTCCGTTCTGTCCGTTTAAAGCCAGAAAAGGACGAGTGTTTCCACTCTGTTCTGCTGTTCAGTCCACAGAGAAGCCGGGACATTGATTAGACATTGACTCTGACTGTACTCATTCAAATATAGAGCAGCTATTTCTAGCCCCTTGGGTGTGCGTGTGTGTGTGTGTGTGTGTGTGTGTGTGTGTGTGTGTGTGTGTGTGTGTGTGTGTGTGACGTGAGCGGTTGAGATTCTAAAGGCAAACGCCCACAGAGACTCACACCAGACAGCATGTCTGCGTCTTTAGATGCTCCTCATTCAGCTCTGGAGGGCAGATACACACAAACACAAACGCACAAACCAGAGCAAAGGGGTGACTTTCACCAACCGGATCATCAGTCAGTGGTAATAATAATAATAAATAAATAAAATAAATAAATAGTAATACAGAAACATTTGACGTACAAGCCGAGTGCAACCTTCATTTCTGATCTGTTTCAGTGTTGTTTTAAGCTGGTGATGGCAGGATTCTTAAGCTTGTGGTTGTAACCTGGAGGTGTGTGTGAGTGTGTGGAGATGGGAGACGAGCAGCTGGAGGTGTGTGTGAGTGTGTGGAGATGGGAGACGTGTGTGTGTAGAAGAGGAGGTCAGCAGGTGTGGCGAGGGCCGCCATGCTCCCGTTTCAAGATGCAGGATCTTTTTCACAAAAAGGAGAAATGGTTTTATCTGACCAAGCATCAGGCGGATTTGTGTGATCTTGGTGATGATCGCGACTTGTCTGATGATGAAGTGGAGGGAAATCTCTCTGTCTTTTTTTCTCCAGATTGAGTTGGCTGGTGTCTAACGAATGGCTTTAGATTACATACACGCACTGTTTAATTTGGAGGCCATATTCATGTTGAGATCATTTCATTCCTGACCACAAATGATGGGAAACCACTATTAACAATTATTATTCTGATAATAATTCAGGATAATAATCAGATAATAATTATCTGAATTATTATTCAGATAATTCTGAATAAAGACCATATATGGTGTCAAAAAAGAGTTTGGCCTTATGGAAATGTTAAGGCTTATTACTGCACAAAAGCAAATTACTGAAACTGAATGTGCAAAAATGTGAGGTCTAGAAATGAAAAGCACTAATTTTTTTGTGTGTATCTTGTCTGCTAGTGGCAGCCAGTCCCAGTAGCTGGACATTGTGGCAGGGTTGGACAGATTCTGTGATTTGACCCTGTAGTCTCATGTTGAGGGAGTCATGAGGCTAAAAGCCTCTGTTTTTCTTCATCTGTTGTATTGTTAATAGAAGAGTATCATATCAATGACCCTCCAGTGTGTGTTGATTTATTTTAGTTTATTATGAAATACAACAATATGTGCACCTCGCTTAGTTTCCCCATCTCTGTCTAAATTAAATGGATAATAATAATTAAGCTAATTTACTCTGAAACAACACCAATGCACCACAGGGAATCTTTAGCACAGAAATGAATTGAATAAATAGGCACCACTGAGAGGCTTCAAGAAGCATCTGCAAGGTCCAGATTTCCCTTATTTACATAAGCAGGAGCTCAGTTCACTGAAAGCCACAGGCATAGAGTTACAGTAAGAAAAGATGTACTAGAGCCAAGAAACTAACTCCACTGACTGTATACCAAACAGAGACGTTTTCTCTGGACTGACCACACAGGAACTGTTAATGTAAGAACACAGCTCAGATCAGATAGCTGGTGTGTGATTTGTTTTCTAGCCTGAGCTTGTTTGTAGCCACTGGTCAAGGTGATATAATGACATTTACATTGGGAAATGGCAGCTATATATCCCTCCTGGACTTTGTGTTGTTTGCGTGATCATTAGAGAAATCACAGACTGGCGTCAGTTCTGAGGATATGGATCTGTTTTCAGCTCAGAGAGGGGTGAGGGGACACAGTGGCCAGGCCTGTCCAGCTACACTTACGTAAGAAGTCTTGGATGCAACACAGAGACCCTGTCTCTTTCTGCCTTAGACCTCCTAAACCCTGTCTGTTCTTAAGCATCAGCCTCCTAAAGCCACCCGCCTCTGATAACACCTTCCTTCTTCCTCTTTTAACTCTTTAAAGCCTGATTCAAGAAAAATAGGAAGAATATTGGATTTTTTTAGTCTGAAGTCTTTCTTTGGCCCCTCAACAACATATGAAGAAAAAAAACAGAAATTATTTTGATCAAATTAGCGTGCAATAAGTCAAAAATATATGTTGGTGTAGTCTTCTACTGGCTGTTATCAGGTATATCTGAATGTGTACAACAGGGGTTTGAGCAAAGCTTTTACCACTGAATGATGCAGAAAGTCTCAGATCCAAAAGACTTCAGAAACCGTATCAGATATTACACGTTTAGCGTTATAGGGTTAAATGATCTTTTTTTCTGGTTATTCATCCCATGACTTAGCTACCAGCAACATCCATGTTGCCACCCAGCTTGATCCTGTGAGGTTGAAGTTCCTTCAGATAGTCTCTCATATATTCTAATAATCCAAAGATTGAAATGTACTGCCTCTAATTATCTTTTACAAACTCCTGGAGGGCCACTGTCCCAGAGGTTTTAGACGTTTTCCTGCTCCTGCCCACCTGATTCTGACCTGGCTCTGTAATAAAACAGTGTTAGCTCTGCTGATGAAGGGAACCAGGTGTGTTGGAACAGGGAAACCTCTGAATCCTGCAGGACCAGAGTTCCACACCTGTGATCGTACGCCTGCAGGTGCTTTATCATACCTTTTCTTACTGTTGTACAAAATGAAGGAAGTAAATAATCCAGATAACAGAAGATCAAAAAAGCTGCAACAGCTCTTACAAATAAGTTCTCTGTAAATGTTGAATTACTAAGCACTCGAGTGGAGCCTTCTCTACTACTGTGAAATCATTTATGACTCTTAAAAAGTCAAAGGCCTTGAATTAGGCACTGAAACCCTTTACTTTAAGTTTCCAGCTGGATTTTCTGCAGCTTTCATAACAAACCACAGAAGAAACTCAGACAAAAGATGAGCAAAGTGGCACAGGGGGCAGACATAAATCCAGAGAAACGCTGTAACCCAGCCCTTACAAAACCCTGCTGACCTGTGTACCCCCACTCACATGGATTTTAAGGGTAGGACGTCACCAGTGTGAGCACTTACACAACAGAAACAAACGGGCCGGCCTGTTTCAGACCAGACCCAGAATCATCTGCGGCCACGACCTACATACACCCCTCCACTCGGATGTTCAGACCTATAAATAACAGACGTGCAGATGTGACGGCCAAGTGATGTGATGTCATCGATTCTGTTGATGAAAACTGTTTTAACTCCTTGGAACTTGTGAGTTAAATGTCTCACTTTACTCGGGTTTCATTTCCATTAAGTCTGTGTTTGTAAGAGGTTGGAAACTGAAAAAGACTAGAAGGCATTCTCCCTAATAATCCCTAATAAGAGGAAGGCCTGTACCTTATGCCCATATTTAAATATTTTTCCCAATATAGCTGCTCTCTTGACTTCCACAGGTTCTCCATTTGCAGAATTTATAACCTGCCAGAAATAAGCACTTCTCTACAGCAGGTGCAGAGAGATCCATTAGAAGGAACTCTTTCCCTGAAAGGGGTTGTGTATTACAGTGTATAAGCTGTTTGAGCTATCTCATACTAACCCAGACTCTCACACAGTGTCAGGTGAAATAAAAAATATACACATCTGGGATTTTAAGCTCTTGCAGAACTGAAATCAACTTTTTTATTTTTAAAGCCTCAACCTGTTTGACTTTTTTTTTCATCCAATACATATGAAGGTTGGGACAATAGTGCCTGGCTGACTTTAAGGGAGTTAAGCATCTGTATCTACCTCAAAATGATTTTGCATCCAACAAAAATTCAATCATCATCAAATGCTCTCATTCAGACAATGAATGCAGAGTGGAATTACTTCAACAAAGAGGCATGAACACTTACCCAGCATAGTGAAACGTAGGCATAAGCCCACTTGTTTTTGATCATGACAGGTGCGTAGTGATTCTACAGAGACTGGCTTTACTGGAGCTCCAAAGGGAGCAAAGTGAATAGAGTGGAGTTTTGCATACATTTGCATAGAGATAAATCCATTTCAAACAGCTTTGCTTATAGCTACCTGCTAAAGAAAGGGATCCTTTGTGTTGGCTTTGCAAACGGGTATTTGGCCTCACAGGCCCTGTTTTGACAGGAGGTGCAGTAACACAAGCCAAAGAGGACTGAGTCTAATGTAAGCTGGTTCTGGTTAAAGTCCAGGAGAAGTCCAGGGCTGATTCATCCAGGTTTACACGTCTTTGTATTCTCTGTTTTTATAGTTATGCATCAGTCAATTCTTACACGTTTCAGTGGTTTAGAGGCCATTAAAATGTCTCTAATAGTTGGTGCAAACACACAGATAGAAAAAATCTCTGCAGCTTGTCTTGCTTAAGACAGCATTTGTTTTTATTTTAGAAATTTGTATTCAATTGGGTCTTCCTGGTATTGATGTACTAGGAAGACTTTAACTATAGATTGACTTTTTGCTGATTTCCTTTCCATTGAGATGTATTCATTTCATAGTCTTCTCAAAAATATAACAATCTATTTTCTCTCGCAGTGAAATCTGACAACAAGGACAAGCAGGAGAAGATAGACATAATCTCCAGCAAAATGGACAAGACTGACACCTTCGGCAAGAAGGAGGAGCCCCAGAAAAAGGACATAAGCCCCGACAAGAACCAGAAGTCTGAGAAGATCCTGAAAAACGAAGACCAGATGGAGAAGCTCAACGCAGAGAGGAACGACAAGGAAAAGGTGGACAAGCCTGAGAAGACCAACAAAGACGACAAGAAGGAGGAGGAAAAGAAACCTGCCGAGATCAAGGAGAAAAAGGAGGAGAAGAAAGAGGAGAAGAAGGAGGAGAAGGCAGGGAAAGGCTCGGCTAAATCTCCCACAGGCAACGGCAGCAAGGCTGTGCCCGCCACAGACAATAAGAGCAAGGTGAGTCTGCCCCCCCCCCATAGCTGAGCACACACATAGAGGGGTGGGTCTGGTCAGGGTGTCTGGAGGGACTCTCACACTAAATGCCCCCTAACCCTTTACCCTAATTCCCTCCACTGACTGATAACTAACTTTAAACCAAAACCCCATTCTTTACACAGAGCCCTCCTGTTTATGATGTGGTTGAGAACTTCTAAATGTTCTTTTTTTTAAAACAACAAAGAACCAAAATGAAAAAAAAGAGAAAATTCCAACCTTTTATTTAAGTTCATTACTTTGGTGGTAAAAATAAAATCACACGTTTAGAAAA